TAATTCATGATGATTTTAAATATTGCGAGCTGCTGCTGGTCACCTCATGGAACCTATTGCAGTGGAATTTGGCTAGCTCGTTATTTATTGCAGGAGAAGAAGGGAATTCAACTTTTACTCCTGTTTTTATGGCCTGCTGGATACTCCACTTATGCAACTATCTAAGGGCAAACACTTTAACCCCTTGAGATCTGCTAATCAGGAGCACCAGCTGTTAAGTGCCAGCGTGCATCCTGCGCTGGTGCCTGCGGGGAGAGAAAGGGTTGCAAAGGATATGACCCTAAACTTCAGAAACCGCTTCTCTCCTTGGGGGCTAAATATAATTCAGCTTGCATCTTCTCTTCTTTTCTTTCAGTTTATCTGGTTAATGTTCCTGATGTGGGTTGTTGTGCACTCACTGTGAATGCTTCAAGCCTTTAGGAAAAATATAGTTAATTGCTGAAGTTAAAATCTGCCTTGCACTGGTGTGGAAGTGCTTTTGGAGGTATTTACTCAGCTGGCTCAGTGAGCTGCTGCGGGCAGGGGGAAAGCGAGTAGTATCTGGCTCACGGTGAATTACTGCAAATGCATGTTCTGTTTAAACAGAAACCACATCGCACATTGCACAGGCATTTTTGACAATACTGCTGGTACAACGTTAGCTCCGTCTCATAATAAGCTAGATTCTTATAATCATTTAAAACAAGCAATGAAATCCATTGTGAAAAAGGAACCTGTCACAAACAGAAACCAAATTTATTCCCTGCAGAGTAAAATACAGTCAAAAGGTGAAAAGGCAGTTCTTTATTCTTGAAATGCTTCCTCTTTCATCCCCCTCTTTATTTTCTGAAACCAGTAGTACTGTTAAGCAGACAGATATGTATTGGTGGGGAGAAAAGATAGAAAATATAGCCTTTTTGACATATTTTGTGTTCTCTTTTCCAATTGTCAGTGCTGTCCACCCTAGTATTTTTAAACCTTCCTCTAGATTATTTGTTGTATGACACCAAATTGATGTCTCCATCTATTACTGGACTTCATACTTGAGTAGCCGGAGCAAAACACTTCTAGTAACGGGACATCCTTGGAATCAGTGGATTGAGTTCTTCCAGCTTTTACTCTAAACCACTGCATCAAATTTAGATTGCATGTGGGCTTTCCAGATAAGCAATGTTTAAAATACCTTAGCAGTGTGTGCATATTTTGTGGCCATCTCAGTAAGCACATGATTTGACCCTGCTGTCCTTAGATGCAATATCCCTCTCTCCCAATGTCATGTAACAAATTATATATTTTTTGTTACCTGAAATGGCTCAAACGCATAAATAAAGTGCTATTGGGTACTAAAGAGTGTTATGCCATCCTGTTGTACTCTCAAATTAAAGAGAAAGCCTCAGTGTGGCGAAGATGATGTTGAATTTGGGTCATGTTTCAACAAAATAATTCCAAAAGGAGTTGAAAGCTCACACTGCAGTTAAGCACTGAGCTCCTCTCACCTGTGAAGGCAGGTTGGGTTCAGACCGCGCTTTGTGCCTTGAAAATCTCTTCCTTTGTCCATCTCTGTCACCTTTCTGCAGACTATCATTGCACACATCAGTGGAAGTGAGCTGAATTTACATAATATAACAGCAATCTAGCATAAGTTTGAATAGAAAAAAAGCCTTCATCACAAAATGAGATGTAATAGTGGACTAGCAATATATATTTAAAGCCATTTGTTTTAGGCACAATAAGGGAATAGATGCAGAACATGTAGCGGTGGATGTGGGGGAGGAAGAGAGGTTTGCTCAAGTAGAGAGAAAGCAAGTCATGCTTTCCTATGCCATTTCCTGTGAATTTTCTTATTCCAATATATTTTTCTTCTAAAACAGCTTCCTGTCTTTGCGACCCTAAGTTTTGTTGATCAGCCTCTCTAGGCACTTAGATAGTTCCAGTCACCATAGTATCAGAGGCATTCAGAAATGGAAAACTGGGGTAGCAAACCAATCTCTGCCTCTCACCAAGACATGTGCTTTGGGCAAAATCATACTTTGCTTTCCTTTTCCTTTTAATTACCTGTGGCTGAGGACATCAGAAGTGCTTGTGGGTGACGTGCTGATCACAGCCCATGGGCTGGGGGACACTAGTCAGTAAAAACTGATGTTTCAGGGACTTCTACTGACAAAACACTTCAAAACAAGTTTCCCATCAAGCACACTGGCCTACTAGGACTATTCTTATGTTCCAGTGCAAGCATATGCTTTGGTGTTTTGCTAAATCAGGATTTTATAATCAGGCGTTGTTCATACTATTAGGCATGTCATTCCGTTAATGATGATAAAAAAGCAAGCATCAGTTTGCTAGTAAATGCCTGCAATCTGCATCACAGGAAAGGAGGAATTAACTCTTTCAAAGGTAAGCTCAGAAGCCTGTCTGGCCTTTAAAAGAGTGTTATTAGGTCTCGTCGTGAATCTTGTCCCTTTTTGTCCTGAGGCTAGGGTATTTTCAAATAAAGACTATCCCTTATTGGAGGGGGGACATACACGTTTGCAGCCGTGGGGAAGCCCGTCTGGTGCTCGAGCCTGCCAGCTCCACTGGGAGGATCTCTGTGTTCATCCTTGCAGCGCACTCGGAGGCCAGCTCGGGACTGTGCTTAACCTCATGCATGCATGTCAGTGTCTTAAATTTTTCTCATATCTTAATTTCTGAAAGAGAGAATTCCTCTTATGTTGAGCCAAGATGCTACTGGGACATTTTAATTCCTGGTAATCTAATGAGGCTACAAGTAAGGCTGTAAAGCTTGTGTGGCACACACACAAATTTGCTCCCATGGACATCTGCGGTGGAACAAGAAAAACCCACCTAATCGCACGTGCATATGTGAGCCTAAACACTGAAATGAGCTACCGTGTTACACCAGTGCTCGAATGTACAAAGCGTGTACCTTTACTGATGCTTTCCAGATGAATTACCACGGCAAAACCTGCAACAGAATTAAGGTATAATTACTGTCATCGTTATCAGACTTTACAGCATATGTGAGTATGTATTGCTCTGCGCCGTTGTAAGGAGGTTTGGAGTTTTTTATTTCAAAATAAAACTTTCTGTTTTTTCTGAAGCTCATCCCTGTCAATTCCTAGAGGGAAAAAAAGCAAATACCATACAGTGCCCCAGCCCGTGGTAATTAGCAAAACAATCTGTCAGATACCTTTTCTAAGTTGTCACTGTTATATTTACTGAATTAATTCATTCTATTTCTGATACAGCTGAAGAACATATTTTCATTGATATGAAGAACGTATTGCAAATTAATTATTCTTCTAGACCTGATGTTATTTTAAAATATTTTCTTATGTCTTTTATTAAAGGAAACCAAATTAAATAATTTACTTCTAGTTGCTTTCCTGAATTTTTGGAAAGATGATATTGAGTTATAAAGTTGAGTTGGGTAAATGAGGAGGTGCATAATGTTCACATTGACATGAACCTAATTACAGTTAGACTTAAGCCCTTAAATGGCAAGACTTGTAGCAACAGTGGTAAGCATTGTCCCCAGCCTGCAAATCGAGTCCTGGGAACTAAATAAATATATGTTCTAGATGTGTACAAGTGAGCTATTGCAGCAGTAAAACTTCAGGTGCATGACCTCCAAGTTAGGGACCAAGACCCCTGTGAATAGTTGGGGAGATTTAAACGCCTCCAGAAGGAAGTCCCAAATTGGCACAGTCTGGGCTAGGAGATTCCTGGGGTCAGGCAATAGGAAACGGTTGTCAAATTGCACATCAAAGGGCCACAGTTGTCTTCAGAGTACACCACTAAGTATCCTTCAAAACGGAGCAGATTTCAGAATGTAGCTGATCCCTGTCCTTGATCTAATGATGAAAGTGTGTGTACAGCAACTTCCCGAGCTTCAGGGGCTTCAATGGCTACAGACCCATATCTGCCCTAGAAGAATGTATGAACATCCAGAGCAGTAGAGAATAGGATAGCAGAGATGGGGCAGTTACACTTGGACTAGGGTCACCCTCTGCCCATTTGCTTGATGCTTTGGCACTCTGTGATGTTCCTGCCAGATGCAGAAGGGGACGGATGTGAGACAGACAAGTTCTGTAGCTGAACTTCTCAGCTCAAAGGATTTCCAGCCAGGCTTCTACTCTTGGAGTTCACACTGGAGGGACCAAAATCCTGATTTTTCTTCAGTCCCCTCAAAAAACATGTATCTGCTTAGGCATTGATGGAAAATGAGAAGGGTGGTCTTGTAACATGTTAAACTTGAGGAAATTGAGGAGGAAATCAACATCTCCTTGTCCCCTTTGGTTCTCCAGGCTCTGGGTTATTATAAGAAAGGCAAGAGGCAGAAGGGCTTGCTTTGCTCTCCATAGACCATGTTTGAAAAGAAAGCACCTCCATTTGCACTGAGGAAGGGAAGCAGTGCCCACAGCAGCTGGGCTCCGAAAGCCTATTTTCTGCATCCTGGTGATGCCGATTGCTACACAGCAGCGGTGTCCAGACACCCCAAGTGTAACCTAAAGAAAATGCCATAGATTTGCTGGCTGAAACAGTGATCACGCAGTGAGATGGTCTGGCAGGTCCTGAACTAGGAAGCCACAGACAGGTTTTCTGGATCTCAGCTGCAGGTGACAAAAGTTCACCTAAATCTTGTTTTAACAGCAAAAATCTTTATGTGGTTCAGGCCCCTAATTCAGTGCATACTCTTAGGAGTGACAAAGGGGCACTCGGTGGCATTGCCATGATGGACCCGTAGGTTCTGCAAAATATATTCTGCTCTAGGTGCAGAGGCATTTTTAAGAATTTGTTTTTCTCTGGCTTTTCTTGAATTAATGTTAATAAAAGCTGCCCCAACCTCTTATTTTTCTATATGAACACAAAAATTGCAGCTGCCTGCCAAGTCTGCTGAGAGATGGATGTAATAATTTTCAATTGGACTGTTAGCCCAAAGGGAACCCGATAGCAAGAGATTGACAGATGCAGCATGGATTATCTTGTGCTCTGAACTCAGCCCAATTTGTGGTTTGTTGCAGGTGCTAAAGAGATTGATATTGCTGCTACCCTGGAGCACTTGAGGGACCAGAGACCAGGCATGGTCCAGACAAAGGTACTGTCAATAAATCCACTGGGATTTTAAATACATTAAAGGTCTTTCACAGTAGTTGTTTTCATGACAGAAGAGAGAGGGTATGACCTAATTTAACGCAGGTCGCTTGCTGATTACTCTGTTTGGCTCCCTACCAACTGAGGTTTATTTATGCTGAAAATTTATCTAGGCTACTTTCTTTGGTGTTTACTGCACTTTCTTGTAACATCTCCAACATCTATCTTGATTACCATATATGAAGGGCAGTCAAGACAACAATCTATAGCCTACTAAAGAAAGTGTGCATTTGAAAGAATGTTCTTGCTTTAAGCCTGAAATATGGATTATTTTCTTAGAGTGTCTATGCTTAACTGTGCATGTAATATTTTTTTTAAATCTTCAACTCATTAAAGAGAATGTAACTGCTGCATTTGATATGTTTTTTTCTGGAAAGAAAAAGGTTTTTTAATTAAAGGAAATACAGTTTTGTAGGAAATCAAGTAATTTTTAGTATCTTTGGATGGAAGAGCTTGCATCGTGCCTAAAGCCATGTCCTTTATGGATGTAGCATGGTGACTATATTTGTATACTTCGGTGAGGTGAACATCTTACTCTATAATTCCTCTCAGTTGTAATAGTTTTGACATTTTTCCACTATGTAAAACTTTTAAAGATAGCTGATGGTGTGATTGTAGTGCCTTAAATAAGAAATGAAACTTTCTATTATTAACCATTTCAGTGATGTATGGAATGATATCTTGGGGTATTTGCTGCAAGTTAAGAGCTGCAAATATGACAATAAAGAAACTCATTCATGGCATGAAGACCAAATAAATCTGTATATGACATTGTAAAATATCGAATGAGAGTTATAGCCCCAAATGGAGTAACAAGAGCAATGTGACCACACTTTATCTTGGCTGGCTGGAACTGGTAGGAAAGTCTGCAGCATTTAGGGAGTTGAAATTGCTGAGGGACAAAGGTGAAATAAATGTGTTTTGCAGGAATTATTGGTTCATAACTTTTCTTGAATCTCTTCCTAATCATTTTATCTTCCCAGTAATACTAGGAGAGGTGGTACTGGAGAACAGTTGCGGGGGCATTAATTATTGTATACCAAATAAGTAAGTGCATGAAAAATAAAGATGAGCCAGTCAAAGCTACCTATTCTTTATCTGCAAGTAAGACATAAAATTGCACAAATCTTTCTTCTGCTTTGATTATTCAGACTGGAAAAAAAAATGTGTATAGCACACAGTATCCAATGTCACATATATTTAATCTGAGGGAAGATGCAAGTCTGGAACTACACTGTAAATGCGTCCAAAATATATGGCAGCTCTGTAGAAATATAGAGCTCAGATTCCAGTTGCCCTCTCAGGGCAGAGAAATTACAGCTTGTTGCCTTCAACAAAAGAAAAAAACATCGCTCCAGAACCAAAGAATGAGGTTTAGCGAACAACTTCTCTTATTTAGCTCAGAAATAGTTACCCAAGTCCCATGGAAGTCTCACTCAAGACGTGTTTTTCCCATCCAAACATTTATCTGGAAGAGCTCCAGAAAAGAAATATATTCTGTGTTTTCATCCAGGATGAAGAATTTTCTCAGGATATTGCTTATCTCTCCTCTTGCTCCTTCTTCCATCATTGTCATTTTCTCAAAACCACCCAAATCACTTATTCAAGCTAATGTCTTGCAAATTATAAATATCTGGTTACATGCTAGCAGTGCACGATCCCCAGAGAATTTTTCTGATGGATTTAAACAAACCCCTGTGCTTTCCCAACTGAATACAAATGAGGAATATTAGACTCTTAGAGTAATTTAAAACAATGGATTAAAAGTCAGGTTAGAAATGCCAATTACAGAATATCCCTAGGCAAAATAAACACCAACTTACTTGAGCAATGTTATTGTGTTTCCAGCAGGCAGCGCTCCACATTTTCAATAAGAATGTGAAAGGTTTGTTTGCAACATTTTGTCTTCTGGAAGGGATCTTTAATTCAAAAGCACTATATATAATAAATGGTAATGAAATTATAACGACATTGTGCATTTCTGAGAAGCATAATAGAGGGTTGGTGGGTTTGGTGGGTTTTTTTTGCAGGGGAATCATAAAATAGAATTGATATGCCACATGTGAGAGGAAAAAGTAATGAAGGAGGAAGCATATTCTCTGTGATGGGAAAAATATATATTTCCTTTTTTTCTCTCTCCTTCTATATCTTTCCTCTCACAATCTGTAATATTTAGCTAAGGTTCTTTATTGTATTATATATGCTACACATACTCTGTTTTCCTGCGAAATTTTATTTGTAGACTTAATGAAACATAGCTTATTATTTTTGACTAAATATATTCTTGTCAACTCTGCATTACAGATGGACCAACACCACAAAATGCCTGTCCGGCTCTGTTCTCTAGGCAAAGCTAGATGTTAAGTTCATCTCCAGTCAATCTTGTATATGCGAATAGCATATGTGAATGACAGTGTAGCTGTACAAAAACAACAAACTGAGCTCCTTTGAAAATTACTGAAATTAATTTGATTTAACTGTAGTTGTTCTCATGGAAAGGTGTGGGAGGTATGTAAAGGCTCTTCTTTGGAGGGTGGTGATACACATCAACGGAAGCTGCACTATCTGCATCTTGCCTGTGTGTATTATGCAGAAGGAGGGAGGGGGAAGAGCTCAGCTGCGCCATCCCAGAAGGACAGAGTCCTCACACATCTCATGTTCCTGCTCTGCTGTCCCCTTTGCTGCAGTGTTTCACAGTCAGGTTTGAGCTCTGGCTGTAAAAGTTTTGCTTTGTAAGTTGTTTTGCCTCATTAATTTAGGGTCACACCTAATGTTAGCTGGTGGTCTCCCCTCAACCTGTCTCCATACTACACTTGGGAGTTCAGGTTGATCAGTCCATGATCCTCGGACAAGACAGACACTTTACCTCAGGCGGTGCAGTGGTCCCTTGTGCTCACGTGAGGGGTACCGCTCTGGGAGGGGTAAAGGCAGGTCAGATTGTCTCCAGCCTGACAGATCTTCACATTAAGGTGAACATGTCTCGGACCAACAAAGTTAAAGGGCAGATTTGCTCAGTGAATTACTTTAGAGTAATATAAGCTATTTTCAGCAATGGGACTAATATTAAAGTATTGTAGTTCCTGATCTTACGAGCTTTTCCTGGCTATAAAATACTCGGATGAAGAGCACATTAGGTAGCCTCATCACCATGGGCAGCTTCCCTTCTTCTGAACTGACACCCACATCTCGGAAGAGGCATCTGCACAGCTCTGCAACTTGGCTGCATCACTGTGTCAACCCCATCGTGCTCAGATCAGCCTCTTCTGGTTTTGTGCTCCCCGTGCTCCGAGGACTGGCAGCGATGGGGACCAGCTGTCCCTCTCACATCCGAGCATCGGCATCTTGGGAGCACCCGCTTTGCCTTTCTCTTGCCAGCCCCAGCCACAAGGTTCTCCCACCCTGCCCAGGCTGCTCCGCAGGTCTCTCACCTCGCAGGGCTGCATCAATGGGGTCCAGCAGCTGACGTCTCTTCCTGCCAAGGCTCTTCTTCCTGGAGGCAAGCACTTCTGCCTCTGCCCAAATTTCCTGAAGCTTTTTGAGCCAGTACAAGCACCCGGTTTGGTTCTCACACAGTGTGTCCAAATGAATGCCCTCTCTGCCCCCACTGCCCTCCAGCTCCTCTCACACATTCAGTGTGCTCCAGTTAAAATATAACTGCTGCTCCTGGGTGGCCATCAGCATTTCCAGGCTTTGCTTTAATTGCAGAGACCTTGGGAAGCGCGAGGAGGCATAGGCAGGCGTATACACCATTTTCTGTGCCTAATGAGGATGAGTCCTACTCTTTAGGGTGAATTGATGTCTGATTAAAAGCTATTGGCTGCAGTCCAGCAAATGTACAAGGATGCCACTTTGACAGCACCAAGCAGACAGCAAAATTCTTGAATGTCAGTGTCTCTGAGAAATTATTCTGAGTTTCGTTCTTGTTTTTCTGCTCAGGAACTGTGCCCATCATTGCCTGTCTCTGAGGCATCTCCACATGGGAGATGACTCTGCAGTGGGGTGAGACAAGGCAGAGGAGACTGGCACTAAACTGCAGGAATTAGAAGTCAGCCGCGTTTCTGAACTACGAGTTACACATCCATAGTTTGTTCTTTCATCCTTCCTGCAGATTTCTGCAGCAAAGTGAAACGCTCTGGAAAATGAATGCTATTAGTCCATTAATCACCTTTCAGGGCTGACTGTGTTCTGCAGCCATCCACCACTGCTGCGTACATACCTGCTACCATCCTGCACAGCCCCTGGCAGGGCAACCTGAGGGGCGGGAGGTACCCACCAGACCACCAGTTTCCTCATTGGAGACACAGGCAGTATTCCAGCATTGCTCTCGGGATACTTTGCAGGGTGCATCTCAGACCTCCATTCTCAAAGTTGGTTCTTCAATGGCTTTTGATCCTGGCTGGCTTAACCCTCTGGAATACTTCTAGAAAATCCAGAAACTTCTCCACAGTCCTTGTCTGGTGTCCTTGATTTGCTGATATTCTGAATAAACTGCTTACATTTCTTTTTTCATCTGAAAAGTTGCAAACACCAAGTCATTCCGTCGGATATTTCAGTAAGCTAAATTTCTGAGAAAAATTACTTGCTTAGAAAATATAACACCTATTAACCTTGAGGAAGTAAAGCTCCTTTGTCCTTCTGTAGGACTAGACGGCTCAGGAGTGTGTTAGGGTTGCACTTGGATGGGATGGCCATTCGTGGCTGTGTCCTTCACAGCTCTGCCAACCCAGCACAGAAGCCTGTTAGTAATTTTGGTTTTATGCTTACAGTAAATTAATAGCAAAGAAAAGCCTTCCCAAGTATTTTTTAAATAGGAGTGGTCTAAACATCGTTAGGTAATTTGTGGGTGCAGAAAGACCATTAAAAAGCGAGGCTGAAAAAGAACAACAATAGGCAAGCCAAAAAGCAGGTATTGTTTTATATAATAGATATAAGGTGAGGGGATATTAATTCTAGCTGATTTCAACCAGAAACAGTCCTGAGAAAAGCCAAAGGCTCTGAGTTGCAGCATCTCACCTATTTCATATCTCAATTATGTTAACGAGTTTCCATCTCTGTGTCAGAAGGAAATGGCGGGTGATCAACTACTCCCAAACCCTTCTGACCACACAACTGCAATACATCATTGTGTCCCAATAGCTTAGTTTCTGCTACCAACATTTTTCTCCATTAAAATGACTCCAGCTTCAAGATGCTGTCAAACATGTTATATGGCATCAATAAGCCCAGAACATTTTGTTCCTTTCTGTTGCAGTGTACAGTTCATCCTGCATATTCATATTTTTAACAATGTCTTGAGGATGCTCAGCTGCAGAATAGTGCACCAGGCTTTTGGAAAGTGTTTTGTTTTATTATTCAGAGTATGCGTTTGTTCTCTCCGCAGGAGCAGTTTGAGTTTGCTTTGACAGCAGTTGCAGAGGAAGTGAATGCAATACTCAAGGCACTTCCCCAGTGAGCGGCTCAGCCTCCCGAAGGTTCCCGCAGGATCCATCCCTCGTTTTCCTCATCCTCAGTCCCTGTGAATGTTCTTGGAAACCGTGACCTGACCTTAACTGTGTATCTTCTGTTGTAACCACATAGTGATAGGGTCCTTACAAACTCCTTTAGCTGGTAAAAGTTCAACAGTTAAAATGTGTATTCTGTTTTTTGGGGTTTTAAACAAATTTTTAAAAGTACATTGAAGCCTCGGATTAAGTGACAGAACAATCCATCTAGTTCCTTTCACATCCTCGAAGCCCTGAATGTCACACTTTGAAAGCACACATTCATGTTCTTAATAGCAAATATACAGTATCGTGGGTAATTAGTGCAGTCAATATAGTCTCAGAAAACAGTGTTCTGTTATATTTTGTAACTTTTCAAAGGCTGAATAAGAGGGGGGGCCTGAAAAGGATGGTGATTGTTCCTATACAATGCCAAGCTAGAGCATGAAACAGTGCTGAGGGTGTGAGTAAACACAGGTCCAGGCTCTGCCAAAGAGAGCTTGCACCTTCTCATGCTGGGCTTTGGCAAGCAAATGTTTTCTTAACTGTTGTTTACTTTTCAGCTTTGTGCCATGAATGGAAGAAAATCTGAACTATGAGTAAATAGGCCTGCACAGTTGTTGCAACCGGGGAGAACAAGTTGGTCACATTAATAGGAAGCTGGGGGATAACAAGCACAGCAACTCTGACCATGTACCTACCACTGACAGCATGGAAAAGGAGAGTGCAGACTCATCTCAGGTGATGGGGAAAGGTCCTGTCAGCAGTCAGGTAAATGTCCGGAGCTGTTACAGAAACAGATTGTTGATTCTATGGGATTACTGAGGAAGAAAACGGGACTCTCCTCTTTATATTTTTGCATTTCCCTCTGTAAAACCGTGCTGTGCCATCCTTTTTAGCTGGGAAAATACATTTCTGTAAAAGCCTGGCTGAAGGAGAAATCTCCAGTCTGCATTTTATGATTCTCATCGCATTTGTCTGATCCAGACGTTCATTGCACCTTTCTGCAGAGGCTCTGCTCACTCCTTGTTCTGAATGACACCTATTTTGACTAACCATTAAGGGATAAAAAAAGCACGCAGGTTGAATTTCAGAGATTCTTGTGTTCTCAAAATCCTAATGCCTACGGCTGCAAAGTAATGCTAAAATGTATCTGTAAATGGTTTGGTTATGCAATCTTGCTTATGTGAATTCACAGGTTTAGTTGTGGTACGCTTCTGAAGGAATTTAAATTATTGATAGAAAGTACTCTGATATATTTGAATGAAGGGCCTGCGAGTAAAATTATCAAAGGCACTTAAGTGATCTAGGCTCTTAAATTCATTTTCAAAAGTGAATACTTGGATGTTTTTTCATATGTTATCCTACGTCTCCATGATTTAAGAATCTGGGGTGCTTTCTTTCCAAAATCATAAGCGTTGTGTGCTTGAAACCATATTAGGCTAATCATTTGACTTCAGCACTGGAAAATATATCATTGAATTTAATTTGGGAAGGGGAAGCTTTTATAAACTTCTGATCAGTGAAATGTTAAAGATAACAATATCACAGAGTTTTGCTGGCACAGAGGTAACAGGCATCTATCGAAATCAACCATGTTGCAATTTTGTGTTGTAGGTGTGGATGTTGGTGATTTCTTCTTTTTAGTAATTAAAGAGCTATTTAAAAAAAAAAAAAAAAAAGCAGAAGGCTTGTTACTTTTTGCCATACATTTTTGTATGCTTTTCTTGGTATGTGCTGTTGCTTAATTTGTGCGTTCCATTACTGTAGCAGTACAGAGCAGTTACTGCAGATGCCATCATCCTCTTAAGTACACATACTGTACATTAAGCCACATGTTTATTTTATGGCCTAAGCATTTTAGAGCTTTCCTAGCAATAACTAAAAAAACTAATGGAGTATGAATGAGAAAATTGCCTTTTTCATTTGATAATTTAGGTTTAACAGGATTCTTTTATTACTTTAGCTAACACAAAATTGCAGATCGGGGCAGATGAGATCAGTTTGAGCAGTATCAGCAAGTGTTTGAAGTAGATTTACTGTGAGCCATGTACTGCAGCTTTCTGAAAATACAGGTACTTATATCCAAACAAACCATCCAAAGAATCAAAATTAGGGCATCCTAAGCCAAGCCCTCCGATTATCAGGTAGAATTATTTCCCAGTGTGAGATGCTGTGCCATTACCTACTGCCAATGGGCTAATGGGTTTTTAGCACAGATTTCTGCCCTGGGATTCATTAGCATTCGCCTTCTGACTGTCCCTGTGCATACCACAAACATGGCTGACGAGCCTTTCATTTGCACTTCAGGAATATTTTTTAATTGTTCTTTTGCAAATATTTGCATTTCATAATAGCAATTTCAGGATGATCCCTATTAATTCACAAGCAGCTGAGTGCAGGACTTAAATATTGCTCTTCATGCTTCGGAGTTTATTTAGCGTAGATTAGAGGGCATTAATCTTCCCCAAGGCTAATGGGGCAGGGATGTATTGTTTTATTCATACTTGTAGACCAGTTTACACAACAGAAAGATGCAGTCTTACTCAGAGGGTTAGAGTATCTCCCACTGAATGTCATTGACAATCCTGTTATTTCAGCCGTGTTTTGTACAGTTCTTCCACAAAGAGGTGCCAGGCTTATTCTGTTGACTATAAACTATCACACAGAGTATTTTGTCTGTGCAGGTGGCATACTGTTCACACCTCTCAATAAATGCCCTGCTTCTGGGGGTGATAATCTGCTGCAGGGTCTATTAGTGAAATGCAGGTTTTGGTTGCACCAGGGGTTTGACAATCCATTTCCCAGGAAGATGCCAAAGCCATGGATGAAGCCACAGAGATGGATTTCTCATGCGGGGCAGGTATTTCTTTACCCTTTTCACCGCAGTTAAATTAATCCGTGTGATTTGGCAAAGGATGTTGCTCAGGCCACCTGTGGCCACTTGTGCTGGACCTGCCCCATGTTCACTGGGGCTTCTTCCTGGAAGCCAGGATCATCTGAAGGCCAGAGTCAAATGAGACCCACCATCTTTCCCTGTTCAATATTCTGCTTGATCTTTAGTAAACTCATTCCAATTGAGGCTTGGGCTGGTGCCTGATGCATAGCCATTAACAGCATGTGTTTAATATTGACCATGCTCGTGTTCTTGATAAAGATAAATTGAATCTACAGGTGCTGCTTGTGTGGTTGGATCTTTAAATGACTTTTAAGGGGGGGAAGTGCAGGAGGGCAATTTAACCCCAGTGCTCACAGTTTCCTTCCTTGCTGGTCACAGCCTGCAGCAGAGGGAAAAAACTGTTTTCCCAAAGGCACAGTGGTGAGCATGGCTGCTGGCCCCAAGCAGGACAGGAACCTGACCAGACCCCGCGCTTACGTAGTCACAGTGTGTGCAGATATGAGGGGTGGGGAGGTGGTTGTCAACAACGTTGACAGTTCATGGGAGTAACAGCACAATTGCTCTCTCCAGCCTTCACCTTTCTCATCACATGGGCTGGGATTTAGAGAGATTGAGGGGCAGGACAGCACCGTTCCCCAAAGCCCAGATCCTTGAGGTTCAGCCCTAGCCACAGGCAAAAGCGTGGGGTTTGCTGTTGGCTTCATGTGTTTCAGGTGTGAGCTCTAACCATTGCTCTTGACCATCGTCTGTGGGACCTGGTGCAGCTCAGGTAACATCCAGTGGAAGTCCTTGACAATCGTGCGGGCCAAGAATGAATTTCAGCAGAAAATCCCATATCCAAATCTCAATCCAGTAGCAAAACAAGCAAGATTATTTTTATAGATGCTACTAAACGTTTAAAACATTTTAAAATATTTTTAAAATCTACACCAATGACTAAACCTTGTTCCTGTCTCTAGCATGCATGCAGAACCAATCTCCATCCATCCCCAGGGGAATGACAGCTATAGTACCTGTAAGGAGTTCATGCTTTATTAGTCAAGTGGAACATTAATAAAACCCAGCCCACTTCATAATTTCCAGAATAGTCATTAATTAAAAAAAACCTGTTTATTGGAATAGAAAACAAGTATTTGATTAGCTTTGTTACAGAACAATAGCTCTCCTAATTTTTATTCTGCATATTTTATTCTTTGTTTAGAAAATTCTCTTAAGCAGTTGAGATAATTCGCTTTTTAAAACTGTACAGTTTCTATGGTTTTGCTTTTTAAATGAGAGTAGACTTTATAGATTTGATTATTATATTTTTCTGTTAAGATTACATTGGGCATTACAAAAGCATTCCCCACCACAGTGAAAAGAAAGCTATCCTGTTGGTTTATTGTAAAAGCAAAAAAATAATTAAAACGAAATTGCAGAGCTGTGGCATACTAAATCCAATTAGAGCATGACTCTTTACTACTCTTCATTTACCACATTAGAAATAAAATAAAGTTACACCAGCAAGATTTCATTTGAAGCTGTTCTTGCATGCTGTTTGTACTGTATTTGATGGCATAATATTGTTTTGTTTACAACCTTTTCTTTCTTGTCATTCTATTATATTCTTTATATGTATATAGTTAAAAAAAAAAAAAGATTATACAAAGTATTTTGTTCTACCTCTGTAAAAATCATATTTGTCAATAAAGTCACATTGTCTGTGGAGTACGGTATTGTGAATACAGCATTACCAGCTGGTGCTTTGCTTTTATTTGGGGGGGGGGGTTTGGGGGGGGGAAGTGGTACCTCCATCCGCTGCTGGAGAGCTGGGTTCTGCATATCCGAGGTGGGCACACCGCGCTGACAAAGAGGGACACAAATGTCCTGCTGACGGCTTAGAGGTCCACGTTTAATCTGCTTTGAGCAGAAGAGATTGCAGCCACCTCTGGCTTGAGTGTGTGGCCTGTAACGTTGTAGCTTACAACATTTTGATTGAGGCAGACTCCTGTGTTCAGACCGGAAAGTGAAGCAGAAAAAAAAAAAAAAAGACTAAATTACAGTGACCCTCCTTGTACAACCGGGAAATGAAAAAAAATTGGCCTATTGTGTGTGTCACAGAGTGTACAAGTTAATGAACGGAATAAATGATACCCTCTTTCAGGAAGATTAAGGGCAGGAAAAAAATTTTGGGGAGGGAAGGCTGGTAGATAGAGCATCACATAATGGGTGGTCCACACTGCCCAAGGATTTGTAGTTTTAAAATTGTGGCAGGATTCACAGAAGGATTTGAATGGAAAATGCTTGCTGTTATATTAAATAAGGTTAAGAGGAATAAAGTCTAAGGTTCCCACATAAGCACAGCATAAAATAACCAGCCTTTTCCCTGAGGGACAGGAAGTAATTTTCCCATAAGTAGTGTCCATTATATGAAGGTTTGTGTCTTTCCATGAAATATCTATTGTTAGCTGTTATCAGAGGCAGTCTTTAGGATTAGACAGCCCTGGTATGGCAATTTTCATGCTCCTGTATTGTGTGTTAAAATTTCACTTCTGTTTTGAAGAGGACTTAAAATAGTTTGCTGCTTACTGGGAAATAACTAGAAAAATGTAAATAAAAAGGTAGAAACTGTCCTGGTCCAGCTCACTCCCTTCGCATCAGAAGAATCAGATTTTACATTCTTTAACCTTGTTTATGTAGTTACGTGTTTTAATATCTGTGCCTTTCTCAGTGTAAGAAGGTGACTTTCATCTTGGAAGCAAAATATATGCACCATTACAGCTATTTTCCTGGTGGTGTAATTTAGGAGATCTTTCATC